TGAGAGCTAAAGGTACAAGCATGTAGTGGATTTTAACCATTTGTCCCCCTCAAGGAATGAAGTGTTTTGTTATCCATTTGTATCATAGCAATTGTCTAGACAAAGGACTACAGGTATTTTCTCATCTTTCTTTCACCCCATACTTTCCATTTACAAGCAATTCTTTGTTCTGGTTCCATTTTTCCACTTGCATGGTGACACTCATTTCTCATCCTGACCATGATGGGGGAGGAGAGGAAATGGGGCTAAAGAGAGAGATGAGCTGGAGGAGGAGAGAAATAGGTAGAAGGAGACAGGCGTACAGTCACAATGGGGACGATGGGGGCAAGTAGGTCAGAGACAGAGCCACTGAAGGTGGCCTGAACAGTAAAGGAGCTGAGCACTGGGAAGAAATTCAGGATCCTAGAACCACACACACAGATGTCTCCTAAAGAGGGTTAGTGAAATGTGAGGGCAAGGCACAGGTAGGTGGGTGGCCACATTCAGAGGGAGGGGAAAAGGTGATTAGAATTTTGAGGAGAGAGTGAGGAAGAGTCAACCAACAGAGTGACATGTATGTGACGGTGTAATTGTCTTGGGATATTCTGTCTAGGATGCCATATTCACAGGGTCCTTGAATCCAAGAAACCTTAAACCAAGTGAGTTCATTGTCCTTGTCATGAAATCACTGTTCTGAGTATATTTGGGGGTGGCGTGCTTTCCTGATTTGTCAACGAGGGACCACATAGATGGTCCACTACCACCCAAGTTATCATTAAGTCTGTTCTAACTCTCGCTATCAGAGTAGAACTGTGCTCCACTGGGTTTTTAATGGCTGATTTTACAGAAGGCGATCAACAGGTTTTTCTCCGAGGTACCTGGTTGCCCTTGAATTGCCAACTTTTGGTTATTAGCCAAACACATCAGTCATTTGCACCACCCAGGGATTCCAAGCTGATAATACACCACGAAAACCAAACACATTGCCATCATGTTGATTCTGACTCAAAATGGTCCTACAGGGCAGACTAGGACTGCCTCCTAGGCTCCCCAAGGTTGTCATCTGTATAGGAGTAGACTCCCACATTTTTCTCCCATGGAGTGGCTGGTGATTTCAAATGGTCAACCTTTTGGTTAACAATCAACTTCTTTAGCCACTGTGCCACAAGGATCCCTAAGCAGATAACCAAACACAAAACTCAAATGCACTGCCATAGAGTCGATTGTGACTCATAGCAGCCCTATAGGGCAGAGTAGAACTGCCCCTGTGGGTTTCTGAGATTGTAACTCTATAGGAGTAGAAAGGCTCATCTTTCTCCTTTGGAATGGCTGGTGGTTTCGAACTATTGACTTTTCAGTTAGTAGCCCAACATGTAATCCACTGCACCACCAGGGCTTCTGTGGTAGTTACATAATCTGGTGTCAATTTGAGGATCCAGAGTGAAGGGGTGG